GCATGTTGCGTTCCCAGATGAACGTTATAATAAACCCAAACTCACAACGAGTCAATCCCATAGACTCCCCATGTTAAAATGCCCAACTTTACAGCAGAAAAAAACATGTTTACAGCCTGGTTCAAATCTATATAGCTATCTATATAGCTAATTTTGCCTGTGAGGGGGGTGAATTTTTTTATAACTCATCCGTTTAAATTATGTTAAGACTTAAAGTTCTGCATAATTAAGGACGTGGCCAATTGAGTGACAGGTGGATTGTCGAGCTAGGTGAGCGTGGTTTCAGCAACCAGCTCCCACCTCTTTGCCCATATAATTATTTAATTAAATCGTAGCGTTTGTGAATTTGCAATTATGCTTAATTATGATTTTTAAATGGGTTTAATATATCATGCAGCCTTGGGAAACAGTCTAACAATGTTTTATGGATTCACGTCCGTGAAATACGCCACTTCCGGTATTTTGCCGGTTAGTCGACGCCAAGGCGAAAACATACCTGATTCGTCCGCAGCTTGGGCATCTACAAACCGTCACACAATAATAAAAACAGATCTCGGGGTATGCTCTTTCACAGGTAAGACTGAACAGTTGTTTCTGTATGTTGTTTGGTCATTTTTAGCTTTATGTTGACAGCTTTCCCATAGACCCCCCATGTTAAAATGTCCAACTTTACAGCAGAAAAAAAAACATGTTTACAGCCTGGTACAAAAAATGATTTTGGTCTATATAGCCAATTTTGCCCTTCATGACAACTGTGAGGGGGGTGAATTTTTTTATAACTCATCCGTTTAAATTATGTTAAGACTTAAAGTTCTGCATAATTAAGGACGTGGCCAATTGAGTGACAGGTGGATTGTCGAGCTAGGTGAGCGTGGTTTCAGCAACCAGCTCCCACCTCTTTGCCCATTTTCGATTATCCAGGAGTGACGCATGGTGACACGCTGCCAAGATGGCGACGGCCGCCTCTGCCCACTTTGAGCTTCAAAAATGCTCTTCAGAAACCTACGGGTGACGTCACAGACACTACGTCCATGTTTTTATACAGTCTATGGTCGACGCGAGCAAAATTAAGTTGAGGATTTTTAAAAATCGAATAGTCTAATAAAATCGACGAATCGCGACAGCCCTAATGTACATTGATTATCCCCATAAAACCTACTGTGTTTTTATTTTGGGGGTCATTTGTTTTGTGTGGATACATTCATACATTCATTATAATCAGTAAAATCATTCATTTTACCATGGTGAATAAGCCGAGGGAAACGGTAGCTTCAAGACCAAATTGAAAGTTCTGTGCGACTGCCACTTATTCTTAAACAAAATATCAATCTTCATCTTTATTGCAGAAGATATAATACTGTACAATACAATCTTGAAGATACAGTACAATCTTAATATTTACAGTAACGGATTGTCACCTTAAAAATGGTGCTAACGAGCCTTAGCTACAGCAAATTCTGTCACTATGTCCTTCATATCCAAAGACCTTTGTATGTTCCGTTCTGTATGTGGGGGTGGGGGGGGGTGGGGGGAATTGTCTCCTGGTGGAAAACAAAGATTTAAGATGAAAATTACATGCAATTACCATTATATCCAGTAGATGGCAGCAGAGGATCACTCATTAGCTCAGTTGCCATTTCAACTCCCTAGTTTTTCTCACATCTTGCTTTTGGATTTATTGACTTTGAAATATAGCAAGAGCAGGAAGTCACAAAGTCTCATGTCATTTAAAAATAAGTAAATAAATAAATAAGCCCAGACACCAACAGCCTACTATGGTAAATTATTTAAATACTTAACTAGTTAACTACAAATTAAGTTATTTATTAATGCTATAATAATTAAATAATGCATTAAATATTTTGCCATTTTTTTAGATTTAATTTAAAAACTACATTTTTCAAACACTGCCTGAAAAAGGACACATCAAAAGGAGTGCTTGAAGTTATCTTTACCTGTAGAAGCTGCTAAAGGCAACAGACTTGTTGCTGCTGTAGTTTTGTTACTCTGAATTTACTCTGCATCACTTAAAGCACAGCTCTGTTTTGACATCGGCTTGTCAGATCGTTTGTTATGTTCATTGCTACAGTTATCTTATAACCGTCAATCGCGGATCAATTTGGCGGATTCACTCACGTAATTTTTTACACTCGTGTTTGTCATTCCTGAAACAGTATACATGGACGGTCCTCTTAAACTTTTCTTCAAACTGTGAATGAAGAGATGCCTGTGATTGGCTAAAATACTCAACACTGCAAAACACGTTGTAAATAGAAACTTTTGTTTTGTTTTTTTTATTCGAAACCAGAGCGCGCACACAAAAACACACAGGAGAGTTTGAAAGCAGGTGACTTCGAGCGGGTACAGAATTGAGTTGATACTACTGTCTAGAACTGTAAAAAGACCCCTGGCGCGTCTTCCCCGGTACCACCTATTTTATTGCAGCCTATATTAATACCTGCTAAACACTACATAATATGCTGCTGCTAAGTGCAACCCTAGCTAACCTGTTTCTCAGTAACCATATTAGTAATTGGACTATTACCAGTAATTCATCTTGCAAATAATTAAACGAAAATAAGCTGGAATTAACAACGAAAACATTTGTTTGTCATATCTTTAGTCAATCTTATCTCCATCATTTACCACTGTCATGTTTCCTCTTTTCCTCCTCTTCTTGCTTTTTTCTGCTTCTGGCTGCCAGACGGATATGTCTTCTTCATGTTTAAATTAGCAAATGCACGAGTAAGCGCTGTGCCCATAGACTGTAAAAAAAAGATGGACGACGCGTCTCCACTTCCTTCCACTATAGAAAAGTGAAGCCAAAGCATCTCAGTATGGCCGCTGCCATCTTGAGTAAATTATTTCATTTGGAGCCAGAGTCTGCGCAGTAGAGATTTGTTTGGAGCCAGAGTCTGCGCAGTAGTGTCGTGAGAGGTGGAGCCAAGGTATCAAACTCCCGCAGACCCAATCAACCATATTGACACGGCCCCGTTTTTATAGCATCCAATTACTAGCTAAAATCAAACTTATCATAAAAACGAACAATTGCAATATCAGCGTGATAACAACTACCTTAAATGACCAAAACCATCTTTCGGAAAATTGTATTGGAAGTAGGGGTGGAATGGTTCAACGGTACATTAGTTTTTAGGTACAGAAATTGAATAAAGTAATGAAATGTAAAACAGCATTGCATATTTGACTGTATAAATGAAAGACTAATCTTTATTAAAGTTACAAAAGCTATTAAATCAAGAGCAGGGAGTTATTTCTTTGTTGCTGTTTGATTAATATTAAGAAAGTGCTGTCACTTAAAGACACTGTAAGTACGTTCAGCCGGCTATGTCTGCTATAGGATACTTGCCAAGACGGGCATTTTGACATAATTTTTGTGTGAATTTGGCCATTCAAACACACTACTTCAGAGACAGCTTAATATTTGCACGCGTTCTGAGGTTTGCGCGCTTCGGATGAGCGCACGCTCAAATCTTCTCACTGCACACACGAGCTCGCGTCCTCTGGCTCTTAAATGTTTAAACTGGCAAAGCTTACATGAGTTTAGATTAAACACAGATATCAACGTGTGCTGTTCAGGTCTCACCTGTGCGCGCGCGCTATCAGCACCCGAGTGATGACGGAATAAATGACTGCTCATATTCCTTCATACGGCATTCGCATTGAACAAGAGTGAATGGTTTGTCCATGTTTTTATTTATTTTTTTTTTCATCACTGTAGTTGTAATGTATTGGGAAGCCAGAATGCGCATCCATCAACAGAAACATACAATAGCCGAACGCTGTTTGTTTTATGTGATATTTATAGCAAACCATATTTCAGATGCGTTGTCAGATTTAAGTTGAACCGCGGTCCTAGTGCGTGCCGAACCGTGTGTGGAGAACTGTACGGTTCGATTTTTTTCTGCAATCCGTTCCACCCCTAATTGGAAGTGTAATTTATTTTTTTTATTTTGCCTCAAGTCCCATTCGTTTACATGGAGAGGGCGGGGTTTATGACCTATACTGCAGCCAGCCACCAGGGGGCGATCCAAGAGCCCGCAGCTTCACTTTTCAGGACGTGTGAGGCACACCTGGCTGTGCCAGTTTGAAAACAGCAGCCGACGCATCACGAGGAAACAGCAAGCACATCCAGCGTAACGCCAGATGGAACCCCCTAGGGGGGATGCAGATATAATGTTCCATGTTATATTAATAATGACATTTCCGATTGTTCAAATGGTTAGGGGGGATGCAGATATAATGTTCCATGTTATATTAATAATGACATTTTCGATTGTTCAAATGGTCAGCTGTCGGGGGCCCCCTCAAAATGCGGGGCCCCAGGCAATTGCCTGCCCTATTGCTACGCCTCTGAGAATTTCTACACAAAAAAGAAAAGCCCTGCCCTGCCCTGCATGAACACGCACCGTAATGAAGAGAGTGGCTTTTCATGATGGATCTCATATCTATAAGATGGATTTCGGTGTGCGAGGTTACAAACGTATGTTCCTTTTTCTACGTGCATTTCTCAAAAATGCACTTAACACCAATGCGCAAGTACGTTAAAGGGATCGGGTCTTATCAGGTCCATTTGGAAAAAAGCACATTTATTTCAAATGATCCGAGACCCGAGGCAACTAATACCGAGTCCAAACCATTTCCGAGGCACTCGTCAAAGTTTTGGACCCAAACCCGCTCGGGTCAGACCTCGGGTTTTCGGATCTAAGTGGCCCCTTAGAAGAAGACCTCTATGCAGTACTACAGTGTCACATGATCTAAAATTTCTACTGGTTGCCAAATTTCTACTAGTTTATTGTGTCTACCTGTATATCGCCCACCCCCTAATATGGACACTCAATTCCAGATCTATAGGAACATTCTGTAGAATTTTCCAATTTTATTTATATTTTAATTTAATTTGCATTTAATTTATATATATATTATATATATATATATATATTTTATTTATTTATTTTTTTTATTATTCATTCATTCATTACCTGTCAGTTTGTGTAGAGGGTTTAGATGACAGTTGCTCTTGACTCTCAGTTTCCAAGGTTTCTTCATTCGATTCCTGTACTATGTCTTATTTTTGAGGCAGCTTTTCCACCTCCATGACATCAGCATTTATTTCATTCTCAACTTTCAGACTTCCAGAGTCCTTCACTAGACCATTTTCTATGGCAGGAGAGAGTCCATTGGTAATATCCACATCTGGAGATGAAGCTTCCAGTGAATGTTCCTGAGTTTGAGAAACTTCAGATGTCACTTGCTTCTGTTCTGCCATCTCAGAATGAGTATCCTCTGAACGTTTGTCCTCTACTTCATCTGTTTGCTCAATGATGGGTTCCTCAGAAGTCACTTCAGCTACACTTTTCTCAATAACATCCAACTCATTAGACTGACCTAAAAAGCATGAGTCAGGTTCTGTGCTGCTGTTGTCCATCAGTGAAATATCCCCAGTGTCATTGAGACCAGTCTCTTCATGTGTCACTTCATTGGTGTCATTCAGATTTAGTTCCTCAGTTTGGATAATTTCCTTCTCAACTACAATCATCTCCACGTGTGTTTCTGGCTCTGGTTGGGAGGAGCTCTTCTCAGATTCTACCTGAGCAAGTGCAGTTGCCTCTTGAACAGGTGCTTCCTTAACAGGTGTCTCCATAGCAGGTGCGACTGTTGAGTCTGAACTGGTTGCGGTAGCACCTGCATCATCTGTCAGAGCAGCTGTGATGTCTACCTCTTCAACTGACCCGTGCTGAGCCTCTATCTCTCCTTTCACTGAGGCATTATTCTCCGCAAGTGCTACGTCTTGAGGTGCTTCTGAGACTTCAGCTGCAATGTTTTGGATTTCTTCAGTGATTTCAGTCTCTGTTTTTGGTGGTTCTGTAGCTAAGATTATAGTTTCTGTTGGAGCCGTTTCAGGAGAAACATTGGGATTAACTTCAACAGCAAGAGAGACTTCAGTGTGTAATAGTGATATTGTTGTAGAGTAAGAGCTCTGTGGTTTAAGAATTTGAGACTTTGAATTTGGCTGTTTGGTTATAACCGATTCACCCAGCTGTGGTTTTGTTTCATCTTCATGCCTGTCGAGAGATTTGAAATGCATTTAAGTCAAATGTGGATGTTATGGAAGGAACATGAAAAACAGGATTTACTAGTTTAATGTACAGCACTCAGACGTTCACAGTGCAAAGTTCTCTTTAGCCCATATGTGTAAACTAAGGTGAAAAATTAGTTGCAAATGTAAATAATTCAGAATTTGTTGGTACCGTCGTCAGTATTATGAGGACATAACCATATAACTTTTGCATTTGCATATAAATACCTATTCAGAATTAAACAACTTGGCCCATCCAAATGAACAACAGCGCAAACTGCACCAAGTATGTTTAGTTTAGCCAATTAAAACAGAAGTCAATTACATATAGAAGTCTTAAAGGAACACTCCACTATTTTTGAAAATAGGCTAAATTTCCAACTCCCCTAGAGTTAAACAGTTGAGTTTTACCATTTTCGAATCCATTCAGCCGATCTCCGGGTCTGGCGGTAGCACTTTTAGCTGTAGCTTAGCATATATCATTGAATCTAAATTAGACCGTTAGCATCTTGCTCAAAAATGACCAAACAGTTTCTATATTTTTCCTATTTAAAACTTGACTCTTCTGTAGTTACATCGTGTACTAAGACCGACAGAAAATAAAAAGTTGCGATTTTCTAGGCCGATATGGCAGCAAAGTGCCTTGATTATTATACCAGAATTTTGCCTAGAAAATTGCAACTTTTCATTTTCCGTCGGTTTTAGTACATGATGTAACTACAGAAGAGTCAAGTTTTAAATAGGAAAAATATAGAAACTCTTTGGACATTTTTGAGCGAGATGCTAACGGTCTAATCAGATTCAATGATCTATGCTAAGCTACAGCTAAAAGTGCTACCGCCAGACTCGGAGATCGGCTGAATGGATTCGAAAACGGTAAAACTCAACTGTTTAACTCTAGGGGAGTTAGAAAATGAGGCTATTTTCAAAAATAGTGGAGTGTTCCTTTAAAGTTCCAGTCCAAAAGCACCCTGTTTAATTTAAGGTGTCAAAGTGACATTGTAAGCGGACTTATATAATCATTATAAGTGGACTGCAGTCAAATGCGTGATCTGGGATATTATTAAAAATAAACCATCCACTTGTTCCTGAAACTGAGGTCTTTCTGAAGACTGTACAAACATGTTTAAATTGGATGCATCAAAGCGAACATTTTTTCCTCTTCCATTTGTCCCTATGTTAGCTGACTCAAGCATGTGGAGTATGTCAGAAATTGAATGGGCATCTGTATACTGTATCAAGTGTACACAGCGTCAGTGATTATAGGTTCTATTTGCTTTTGATGCAACATGCTGCTTGTGTCCAATGTATACAGGTAACAATACAAATTCCACAACATCCAAACGAGCCATTTTGGTAGCTTGGTTAAATAAGTGCTCTTTTTGTACTGGAGAGGATGCTTTACGCTATGAAACTCACAACAGATATGAACTAAAAGTCACAAAATTTAAATTTCGAATCCATTGGGACTTTCACTGTCACTCACATGAGATAGCAGCAATTAGCAAATGACTAATGATCCAAAGATCCAATCAATTCCAGATTGACAAAATCAGGTCCCACACTTCATTTAGTCTCACTCAAGAAGTCGTTTCATTCAGAGATAAGTCACAATAGTTCTGTTTCATGCCATGTTAGTTAAAAAGTCAATCATTAACTTTACCTGTGCTCTTCATCTGAAGTTGGACTAGTGCAGACATCCGTTCCTGTCTTAGTTGATGTCTTTGATTCAGAGCTGTGCAGTAAACCTTTAGTCTCATCCTCTGTATGGTCACAAGGGTTTTTTCGTCCACAACAATCCCATATGTTCCCCATGTTGGCACAGGCTGCAGTGATAGCTTTCAATAAATCCACTTCTCTGGGTTTAAGTTCAGACCACAGGATGTGCAGTTATCTAAAGCAAGCCGCTTCCACTTCCAGAGGGCTAGCCATATACAAATATTATTTCTCCAGACAAGATTCTATATGCCTCGTACCAATACATGTGAGCAGTGTCTGTAAATAACGTGTATCTGTAATAATGTGTATCTACAGGAGCTGACCATAAACTGCACTTCTGAGTATCTGGTCATCTGCTCAAACCTGCAGATTGAAAACAAACACAAAGTCCCACATGAGCATTGAATATGCCATGTCTTCATCTAAAGACACAAGTTGCATGAAATCAAAAAGTAAAAAAAAAAAAAAAAAAAAAAAAAAAAAAAAAAAAGTAAAACTCTAAAAGCTTCTTACATTTAGGGGATCATCTTGCATTAACAAATTGTAATTTTATAGTAATAACAATAACTTTAGTAATTGTGGAGACTATGTTATGGTTGAACAGGTGTTGTTGAACAAATCTTTTAAGTGAACAAATCCTTCTTGTTCACTTCCATGCATTGATTCCTTTTTCATTCATGGAATTCTATTCATTTTGACACGCTTAACTGTTTGTTTGAGTCAACAATTATGAATTGTTTTATTGTCTTCAAAGACATAGCCTATAGCACTAGCCTATAGCAATTCATGGCTTATAACTCTTTAAAATCCTTATTGGAAAATTTTTCCCAAAACCAAAACAACTGAAAAAGTTGTCGGGCACTAGTGCACTGTAAGACTTTTTCCATTTCCGTTTCCATTGACTCTGGACTCTGTGCCCTATTTGAGGGGTAGGCCATTTGTAGTGGTTTCCAAAGACATAGTGGACATTATCGAGGCACCCTCAGTGAATTTGCTCACTCGCACTCACTTCCAAAACATCAGTACTCATCTTGCTGGATCTGTCTGTTGCTTTTGACAGTTAACCACCAGGCCCTTCAGGGTGTCTTGGAGGGGTGAGATGTCTAAGCCACAACATCTAACTACTGGGGTGCCTCAAGGCTCAGTACTTGGATAACATTTCTTCTTCATCTACATGTCATCACTACAATCTGTAATTCAGAAACATGGCTTTTCCAATCACTGCTATGGTGATGGCAGAACTCTACTTCTCATTCCAGCCCAGATGATCCAACAGTAGTTGCTCACACCTCAGCCTGCCTGACAGGCATTTCTTGCAGGATGAAGGGCCATAACCCTCAACTCAACTTTAGTATGACAGAACTTCTTGTGGTATCCGCCAACCCAACACTTCACCACAACTTCTCCTTCCAACTAGACGCATCAACCATAACTCCTTCCAGGACAACCTGGAACTTTGCAGTTGTAACTGGTGATCAGTTAACTCCTTGTCCAAGCTCTTGTTCTAGCCAGGCTGGGCTATTGTAACGCTGTTTTGGCAGGCCTTCCAGCATGTACTTTCAAACCTCTGGAACTGATCCATAATGCAGCAGCAAAAGTGGCCCTAAATGAGCCAAAGAGAGCGCATGTCACACCTCTTCATCATTTTGCATTGGTTGCCAATAGCCACTCGCATCAAATTCAAGGCACTGATGTTTGCCTACAAAACAACCACTGGCTCTGCACCACTATACCTAAACACACTACTTCAAGCTTATGTGCTTTCCACCTGTGACCTTTACCTTGACTGTTCCCTGCTGGTGGAATGACCAACCTAACTCAACCCGAGTCTTTAGACACATCTTTTTAATAGTAGCGCCTTCTGTGTTAGACTAACCTGGACTTGTCACAGCACTTACATATTGTTATCCTTTCGTTTTTTTAATTGCTTCTATTATCCTAATTAGTAAGTCGCTTAAGATAAAAGTGCCTGCTAAATTATTACATGTAAATGTCAATGTAAACGAGTCAGTGGAATTAATTAATATCCCTAGTAAGGTACAGTTTTGTTAGGGAGTTTCCATTCTTTGCTGAATATCTTTGACAATACAGTAAAATAACCCAAGAGCAAATTCAAACTTACGTTTTTAGCTAAAACACATAATATCACAAAATATTTCACAATATACGTTCTTACATAACTTCAATAGGTATATTATTTTTATAACAGTAACTGTGCCATCCTTGCGCAAGTCAAGAGTCACTCCATGAGCCAGAATGACACGAAATATAAACATGCCGTTTATGTCAATATGATTTCTAGTTTTCTATTTGATTACTTTTTAAAACCTTCAGTACAGCTATTTCAGAAGGCCAGTTGATACACAAATTGACTTCCAATTTTACGGATACTTTAAAACTATTTTTTTAGTTTTCCATGTAATGTTCCGTACAGTATATTAATCTTTGTGCATTGATGAGTTTTTGTTTGTACATTATTACGCATGTGACTGAGGTTGTTTTGCGGCGCAAGGCACAAGTGTCCACTTCTAAATACCGTGAATAATTATATATTACAAATTATTCAAAATTTTGAATGCATTTTAAGAATACTTTTCCCATCAACTGGTCAAAATGCACAACACCGCTGTATGCTGCGTGAAAGAAATGAAAAATTCTTCTGAACATTCATTAATCTTAGGTATTCCAATATTTAATAACACGTTGTTAAAATCGAAAGTTGCAACTGTGTTATTTAATGAGCTAACATGTACTAAGACTTGTATTTTTTAACAAAGATTAATAACTTCTGTAGCAATTGTAGCTATTGCTCATTGTGAATGTTAATGCATTAACTAAGGTTAACTGATGATGTCTTATTGTAAAGGGTTCTTTTGCACTTTAATCTGTGTAAAACTTTTAACTTTATAAATTTTTCTGTATTGCTTTATTGCATGTAAATGTTCAGTTATGTTTGTTATAAGAAAAAAGTTATTAAACCTGTTATACTGTATTATGACAGCACTTTTTTTTAAACAATTTCAATATCGTGATAATACCATATACCGTAATAAAAGCATTAGCAATTAATCGCAACATGAAAATTTGATACCGGCATATCCCTAATTGCAACACTCTGTCCTACATGTAAGTATATTCAATAAAGCATTGTTATTTCCCTAAAACAGAGGTATAAAATATTCCTTTAACAAACCGAATGTATTTAACTTAGATTCCCAAGCTCAGCGTTATTGAATGAGCCAGCATAAGCACATGTGAACTATCAACACCACTGCGTGTTAGATTAATAGATACTTCAGATCGCCAAACTTTGTATGGCATGAATTTTTGAAATACTCAAATATCTCAATTCCTACCTAAATGTTAAGAGTTCTCCATTTGCTTGTCAAGACAGACGACCACTTTTTGCTTCCAGGAAGATCGACGTGTATTAATGACCGTCTGTAGTTTCACTTTCCGTCTATGAATATACTCCCCACAGGAAACCGTGAACGTCAAGGTTCTCTACTTATAGTATTGTTTCTTGTCTAATGTGCTTTTAATTAACCAAAAATGATGCTGAAAAGTAAAGCCATAGTGTCTTAATTTATTTTATTTGCTCCTGTTCTTCCTTCATTGCAGTTGAAGATGGCAGTGCATGGTCTCAGATTAAAGGAATGTAGTGAAATCTGATCCAGTAGCAGCACATCAACACAGTACACAACTATCTTGAACCTGCATTAACCCAGTCTGTCTAAACATAGCTAAGTTATGATAGCTGCTTTATCCACCCTTGTGAAAAAGTAGTGCACTTTTGCATACTTCTAAAAAGAAAGCTTATTACAGAATTAATTAACATACTCAAATAAATAAATTAAACTTCAGTGTGAACACAATGTAATGTTTTTGGACACTTAATTGTTTTTGGACATTTATATGCAATTAAATAAAAATGTATTAGTTTAAATTTCAGCGCAATTACTCAAAGCATAACAAAAGATTAAAACATTTAAAATGAACTTACACTTTTTAAAAGTGTACATAAGTGTCATGAAACAGTCATAAATGTGTACTCTAAGCACACTTATGTGGTCTTTAATTTCATTATTATTTGTGAATACATTTTTTAAAATATACCTTTACTATTTGAAGTACACTACAAGTGCACATTCAATACAACAATTACGCACACTTTTTCATCAGGGCAGCCCACTTGCTCTGACTGATTACAGTTCTCAAAGTTGCATCTTGAAACATAAGTGTTGGTAGTTTACTCATGATTTATAACAGAGATGAGATAAAACCATTACAATAAACCAATTAGAAACTGTGTGCCTACTTAAGTGACATAATATTCAAATCATGCCAAGCTAAAGCTACTGTTTACATAGCTAAAGCTTTATGTTTACATACTGTAAGGAATTTAACTCATTGAATCTTATAAGGGAATTAATCATTAATTTTATTTCTAGCTCAGGTTTTGAGAGGAATCGAATCTGAAAATTCGAGGTCAACCTGATTAAAACTGATTTCAAATGTGATATTTTACACTTTATCAGCTACTCGTCCAGCGAGACGTTAATGTCAGTGTATATTAACAATTTGACTATATGTATTTTCCCTGGCCACGGGTTAATACGTTCTTTGATAAGTTATACGCTACGAGCTAGGTAGCAAGATCTTGGCAAGGTTTGACTTTAAAATTATACGACACCAGACAATGATTCTTTATAAATGAAACATGAATTTATTGGCTATTCTAAATTACATTGACCTAAGCTAAGACATACACACACACACACACACACACACACACACACATACATACAGTCTCTGAAGAATGAAAATGATGTTAACGGAGTTCTGAGAAGTTCCCAAAGTTCTTAACTCATTTTCACGAGTGGTTTTAAATTCAAACTGAGAGAATCACAAAGCAGAGATTTTCTTATCTTTACTGCTTAACTCAATTCACCAGTTCAGCACCTATTTCAGCAGATGTAAGACCTTGTTTGTACTTGCGTTTGTGAAGTCAGCTGAAACGGGGTTCCGGGTTTGGCTGCTGGAGGGAAATTCCGTTGCTGATTGGTTACTACGGTGACGTCAGGATGGCGTCCCTTTGGGGAAGCCCTTCCGGAGATTGGTTGGTTGCCGGGTTACGGAGGAGCCTCGAAGTTCTTCTGAGAGAGTCTTTTGCTTGGCTTTAGGCTTTGAAGTTCGGCAGTCGCGGAGTTTCAACTGAAGTGTTTGAGTTTTGGAGTCTCGCTTGTGCAATGTTACGGCATGGGAGCGCTTTGTCGCGCGGTCACCAAGGCGGAAAGCCACGGTTCTAGAGAGAGCAAGCAGCGAGAAACGAGAAGCAATTGAATTCGTGTTGCAGTGGGGTTTTGATCCGTGGCGTAAGTCCGTCCCACGGGTCGTTGTTCCAATCAGATAGTGGCTGCGGGGCTTAGCCACGCCCTGTGTGGTTCCTTTTTCGTGCACAAGTCACATGCTGTTCGTGGGGAGTATTTCTACAAGTTATAAGAACTTCTTATAAGCATCGATCCCGTGTTGCAGGCCTGAGGGCGTTAGTTAATTTACTTCCTGTGTCTACACTGGTTTCTATACATTAGCGATCACGAGACATCGCGAGGTATCTATATGTGGTTTACAGTCCTGATAGTCCTGATACAAAAGATCTCTGTGTTATCTCCTGATTGGATTAGTTCGAAGCCTCATGATCAGTGGCAT